CTGATTATTTCATAATATAACATCATTGTATTCACTAAATTATTTTCACTAATAATATTAAGATTTTTTTTTTTTTTTTTTTTTTTTTTTTTTTTTTAAATTTATTTTAGATGTGACAATTCTTTTCTTCTTCTTTAATATCTCTAAGAAATATAGTAAATGTATTAAAGAAAATAATGAAGTAAAACTGGTGTGTTATCAAAATATGTCTTTGATTTTTCAATTATTTTTTCACTATGTATTGATTTATTTTTACTATATCAAATAAAAATGATACATTTTTAGAAGGATTCATATAATTTTTTTATTTTTATTAATTATGAAACATTCATAAAAATAATAAAGAAATATGAATTCTAATACGAATTTAAACAAGAATCTCTTTGTAATTTCTCCCTTTGTCTCAGTGCTTTTTAATATATATATATATATATATATATATATGTTTATTATTCCTTGATTTAATGTAAGGAGATGTTTAATTGAAGAAAATAATAATACTTTGATAGCTAAAGGAAGAAAATGTTAAATAGAGATTTGGTTCTATTTTCTATGTTTATTTAATTATTTCTTATTTCTTGGAAATAAGTAAAAAGGTAACGATTTTTAAAATTTTACCAAAAATCTATTATATTTCTTTACAATATTCTAGTATAAGAGATTTTTGTAAATACATTATTTTATATTATAACAAGTGTTTCAAGAGCGTTTTGTTGGAATATAAAACAATAATTTCCACAAATACTATAATAATAATTTAAAAAAATATTAGTTCATTGATTTATATTCTTTAATATTGTTTCGGTTAACTTTTAAAATTTATTTATTTATTCGTCTTATTAATCTTTATTGCTGATATTGATATGATATATATATATATATATATATATATATATAGTTAGAACAAATTGTATAATTGATTGAATTATTAATTCTTTTTCTTATTTGGTTCAGTAATTGGTAATGAATTTTTTGGTATTATATATATATATATATATATATATATATAAGAATATTATTCAAAATTCATACAGATACAAGATTATTAGATTCAGTATCTGATGCCCTTGCTTTGACTTGTAATTAGGTCATTATGTAAAAAAACTAAATCAATTTGTTTCTCTTCATTCCTGAGAATCTAAAACATTTGTACTTAAATTAATAATTTGATGTCAGTATAGGTCTTTTATAGACAAAAATCAAAGCAAGACTAACAACTTTTATTTTGAGGTTTTTTAAGCTAGTAAAAGTGTTTACCTTTAATACTACAAGATAAAAATTATAGATGAGTATTGTGTAGTTTTTGTAAAATAAAAAATTATTTATAACATAATTTGTATTAAAAAAATCATTTTTAATATAAATACACAACTTCAATTTTTTTGGTGGAATTGAATAAATTTTTAAATTAGTTATTAAAATTTAGTTGGTATGATCAATTTTTAAAAATAAGTTGGGAATAATCGTATAACCTTTTCTTTTGTTCTTCTAAGCAACATCCTTGTAGTATTAATAATTTTATATTTTTAATATGTACTTTGGTTCAAAATCAACTATCTGAATTGTTTTGAAACAATTACTCTGTTGATCATGTTATTCAATTTTTTGATTGTTGGTCGATTTCTTTTATAACTACACTTTCATTCTAATTTTAGATTTTGAATATCTCTATTAATTAATTCAAAAACTTCAAAAGAAGAAATAAAAGAGATGGGACAATGCAAGTTAGATTGCTATTAATGTACAAATAGAAAAGATTTTATATTTCAAAAATATGGGTAACACTAATTATTTCTTGTTGTTTGAATATAGTATCTTTATGATATCTTTATTACTTCATAGTACTTGGAATAGTTACAGTATCAACTACTACAAAATAAATAGAAAAATGAAACGTGGTTAAAAATATCTACAGTATAAGTTGATATAAGTTTTTTTAATATTTGTCTAAATTAGAGGTTGAGATTTTTTTTAACATAAAAACAGCTTATATAAATAATATCTAATGTGTTCTATTAAAAATAATTTAATATCAACTTTTTGGTTTTTTTAAATACACTAATAGCTAAATTGTTTATAATTAATTGCAACAATGAACTAACTATTGTGTAATTTATTTTTGATTTTTAGAAGAATAAAATTTTGATATTATAATTTTTTTATAGTTTAATTAAATTAAGAATTTATCTTTTAAGAGAAAATATTAATTTAAAATTTATATTTATTTATTTTATTATCAAAATATCAGTTTGTTTTAATTTTTTTCGTTGCCTAGATCATATAGATCACTACTAATTTTATTTATCTATTTTAATTTTATATTATTAGAGTTCTATAAAATTAAAGTAAATATATATATATATATATATATATATAGTTTTATTCTCAAAGCTATTATATTTAATTGCTACATCAAAGGCATAGGTATATACATAAAACTGTTTGATTTTATCGTTGTCAAAGTAGAAAAAAAACATTCTTCTACTAATTTTTGATTTATTAGTACATTTTATTTTATTTTGAGATATATTTTTATTATTTTTATTATTATAAATTAAATTTATGATTTGAAATATTAATATAACATAGTCTTATTATAAATATTTATTAAAATGAACTAAGTTTTTTAGTGCCATTACCTCTTCTGCATCTTTAGATAAAAACGTATTTAAAGTAACTTTAGTTTTTTAAGATCTAATAGTTTACTTGAATGTACTATAAAACGAAAACTCTTGAATAAACCAATTGTTTATATCTCTTAGAAAATGAGTAAAAAAAAAGTTAATATTTTATTTTAAAAATGTTAATAAAAAAAAAAGAGACATATTATGCATATTAAAATCATCAAAAAAAAGTTTATAAATATACACATACTCATAGTATGCCCAAATTCTTAATTTTGGTAAATAGAAAGAATATCTATAGAACTAAAGAAAACTTTATAGATGTAAAGGAGCTTCATTCAATAATAAAACTTGCTTCATACTAGATTTTAGATTGAAATCTTATAATTGATTTATAGGTGAAATGGTCATCTATAAATGTATATATTTTATTGTTACTATTTACCTCAGCCATAGTTAAAGTTAAGTTGATTTCTTTAATTTTGTTTTGTCAAAGTAGTTATCTATATATATATATATATATATATATATAAAAACTTGAGTTAATACAATTCTAATTATAAAAATAATATAGTTTTTATTTCTTAAAAAAAACTCTTTAAAAATTATGAATAAATAGCTATTTTATCATTAAAGAAAAATTGGTAGTATGTATATATATATATATATATATATATATGAACTAAACTATTTTTATAATTAAAATCACAATCAAAGAGATTTTAAGCTAGAAGTAAAACATATGTATAACAAAATTGTGTAACTTATGTATAGATGTTAACATGTATACAAAGATAAGGCATAAGAGTAAAACATTTGGATTAAAATAATCAATTAAGTGTTTATATTATAAAACATAATTAAAGTTTTTAATAAATTTTATTTTTTATTTTAAAAAATATATTGAGATTTTCTAATCATTATCAATATTATCAATATATGGTGAGGATATTAGCTACTTTTTTAAAATTTAAATTCTAAGATAAAAATTAGACATCTAATAACCTTGAAATCTATATAAAATCATTATATATATATATATATATATATTTTTTTTATTTCTAGATTTATATAAAATTAAAAATAAGATGTTGTTTTTATAACTAATTCTTGGTTATATTATATTAAACTGTATAGCTCTCTTTTCACATATTCATAGTTATTTTTTAACATAAGAACTTATATAATATAAATAGTTAAAACAACTATTTTTGTAGGATTAATCCCTAAAGCTTCTTAAAAACCAAAATGGCATTTAGCTGATTTGGGCATTTCAAATAAAGTATCAAACGTTTGGGATATATATATATATATATATATATATATATATTTTGTTTTGTTTTTCTGAGAGTAGAAATTCTTATAAAGCTTATGCTCTACTAAAGTTTCTAGAAAAATTAAAATTTAAGATTTAGTTATGGTGTTTTTTTAGATTTTGACCCCAACTAAGGTAATTTGGGTCGGGGTCTATGCCATCACATGATAGCTGTAATTGTGGGCGATTTTGGGGGCTGCATAAAAATTAATACAAGGTAGTGGGTCCTTGTTGGCAAGGGAGATCATGTATTATAGAGCTGCCCAATACATTTTCAAGCTTATATATATATATATATATATATTATTTCTACTTCTTCTAAAACATGTAAAAGTATTCCAACTACCATCCATTTTTTAAATAAAATAATTTTTTAAAACAATTTTTTTGTTATCAGCTTTTCAACTACCTACTTCTTGATTTTTTTTAGTTTATGGTATTGTACATGTCTCTTTGCCCTAAGATTTTTCATGAATATGCTGAACTTCAGGATATCTTTGAAAAATTATTCCTCCGAAAATTTTGTGGTCACAAGTATGAATTGTGTCTAGCTCAAGTCTTACTATACCATTTGGGCAACATCAATTTTTCTTTTTCTTTTTCAACTTTGAATGTTGTGATCTCGTACATGCAATGACATCACCACCTAAGATATAAAAGACTTCTTAATATGAGTTAGGAACACGATCTTATAATTAAAAGTATTGAAAATGCTTTAGATTTTTTTTTTGAAAGAAAACTATTTCAAGTAAATTATTTCAAGTAAACTTGCAAAATGAAAGATGGAATGGTATCAGCAATTGGTGGCAATCTAACATTTCACATAAACATTAAGCCTGTCCTCTTCAACGATTTACCACCTTTCTATTTTACTGCTGAATTATGTTTCTGAGTAGCACAATCACTCCACATTTACGCCACAATACCTAATAAACGTATTGGACAAGATCAATAGAAGTCAATTTTATGGGAATTCTCCGCAATCATCATCAATGGATATGTTCTGGAGTCAGATAACTACCTCAATCTAATGCTATATCAGTCACCATTTATTTTGAATATATGCTAAATTCTCAACTTTATTTCAATAGATTCTAGGTGGACCCTGAATAGTTAAGGGAAACATGCTATGCAGGAAGCTCGCGATTAAAGTATCCAACCTACCATTTATTCAAAAAGATAATGCTTTCCCATTACTACGATATCACAATCTACAATCGCAGGTCTAGAGACGACTTTATTACTTCGATAAATCCTGCATTTAGAAGTAAATTGATGAGGTGGAAACCCTTCACCTTTCGCCCTAAAATGATCGAATCACTTGCATGTTGGCCTTCCTAAAGTAGACATGCATTTTTACATGAGTTGGACGAGTTCTCAAACTGGGCATGCCTGCCAAGCTTGAACTTGTATGCCTCAGGTAAGAAGCCAAAACTCTTATGGTAACATCAAACAATCCTAACTTAATGGCTGCTCTTCATGCCTATTCAAAACCTTTGCAACCATATATGGACATTATGAACACTGCAACACTTCCTCAAATTTCTAAATTTTGATAATACGGCCTAAATTTACAATTAAACTACCAGCTCATTCACGATACTTTGAAAAGAAATGAGAAGTCCAGTTTACATGGCTTGCTGACGGAAGACCTGCCATTCATGAAGCACAGCAGATTGCAATGCACGGTGCTCCATCTCTTCAGGAGAGGGAGGAGCGAGAGTGGATGGTCTCTTCTTTGGTTTGGTTTCGAGGCCTGGTAGCAAGCTATCGTCTTCTTCTTCAGGTTCAGGTTCAGGCTCAGGCTCTTTAGGCTTGGCTCTAATTATTGCTAGGAGCTCAATTAATCTCTTCAGTTTTTCTTGAGCTGCGGCCTGATACAAGCAACGTCATGGTGGGGTAAGCGTTCCAAAGTTGAGGAACCATGGCAAAAAAGACGATCGAAGCAAGATCATGATTTCGACACAAAATTATAAAATGGTTTCGATGTATGACTGGAAAGAAAATGAGACCAGCAGATCTCGCACTCGTCAAAAGACAATTCAGAAAGACTGCGACCGGAAACCTACTGTAGAGACATGCGGACAATTAAAAGCCAGTATTCATATTACTAACCTGCACTTCAGCATCAGAAACCACTCTGACAGCACAATCTGTCAGATCGTCGAGCCAGCTCTGCACATCAGCGGTGATTTCATCCACTAATGTACCAGATGATGACCGTATCACAAATTTGCAAACCATCGTCCTCGTTTCTTCCCCAAGGTCCACATCCCCACTAACTTCACTCACGCCAAATATCATCATACCTACCAAGTCGCCATACCAAGTCTTGGCTGCATAACAAATCTGCACAAGAAGATCCTTATTCAGACAATTTAAGGGAATGAAATGGAGGTTCTGTTCGTACTACTAGAAGAATCTCCAGAACATATCCATTGAGAACATTTACCTGAAATCCCGCCACTGTGCGCAGAACATGAGAACAAACTTTATGGAACGGTTTAGACGACAAAGCTTTAAGCCCAGTGAGAATTGGTAGAACTGCAGGTTCCATATACCCTCCAGACACAGTTGCTGTTTTTCGTCCTTCACCCTCGTACACATAACCCCCAGTAAATTCTGCTATAGCTGGGAGACTTGGCCAGAGTCTGAAGAACTCTACAGGTGAAAGAGCATGCGGAAGTAAAATTTCTATGAGAGGAAGCCAGTATGATCCACACCGCAACACCACTGGTTCTCCATACTCAGTCGTAACCGTTTTACGTAGACGACCATGAGTTCCCTCTACTGGGGCATCTACCTCTTCTCCATTGGCTACTCCTACCCCACCAAAGAATGGGTAATAGAGAATCTGTACGGACAGGGAGCACCGCTCAAACCGCGAAATTCCAACCGTAACACTGCATGAGACTGGTGTCTGCAAGAACAGCAAAAGTTAGCAATTGCGATGATTCGGAGTCCAACTGTTACTTAGCAGAGATATGATGCAGATATTAGATGTCAGATTATGCTAATGTTTTGGGACTATCTCCAATTTTATATCCTATGATAAAACTCAATGTCAAAATATCATCAGATAGTAATGGAGCGCAATGAAGGCCAGTAATGAACTACCATGACCTTCTAACCCCTCAATTCTAGATGTGGAACATTACATGGTCTCCTAAGGCCTCGCTCGCATTTAGCACCTTCCCAGTGAAGGGCAACAAGGGATACCTTATTGTACGAATATCCCACAACTTCAAAACCCTTTGAGGTTGAGATCGCTGATTAAGACATACCTGGGAGTGGAGCATTTGAAGTTGCCGGACACCCTGGGGAGAACCGTCCATAAATCGTAGGGCACCAATTAAACCCACCCGTACATCAACTCGCTTGAGTTCTTGCTCTGTCATATTGACGATCTGAAAAGGCCACAAAAGACTTGCGCGTTTAGTTCTAAAGCACCTGGTGGGTGCGTTTCAGTTTTCCTCGATTATAAAACAAAGCAGCGGTAACCAAGCCTCAACAACGAAATGAATCACTAAGTGCAAATACCAAGTCACTCATGGCATAAGAACGAGTTGGGATCATCCTCCACAAATTCATTTACTAGCTTAACTTCTTATTGAAGTCGAGGTTACCTTCAGATGCAGAGTAAGTCGTTTCTCATGAGGATCGATCAGGTGGTAAGCCTCCACGAAGCAGGGATCACTGCTGCCTGATAAAGTTACGGGTGTTGGTGGAGACTTCAAGTGCGAAAATCCAGAGGTCGCTAAACTAAGCTCACTTCGTGCAGGTCGCCAAAGGTCCTGAACAGCAGTGTGTACAAGATCTTCTAGCTTTCGGTCCTGAGCTGCTGAGTTATCAAAGTACTGGGCTGAAAGCTTATGATGTGTGAAAGGATAATCGCCGGTAGCACCTGAATTTCCTACCCACCTACAAAAAAGCAATACTGTCTGAATAAATGCACCCGTGATTTCTAGGCACTATTCCAAAACCATAGATGCACAAAGTGATTCTGACTGACCACAATCCCTTCAATATGCATGTCAGCTGACAGGTACATATCCACCAAATCCAAAAAGTACTTCAGCCTTATACAGAGAATGCCGATTCAAACAAAAATACAGCCTACACTATACCAGTGGCCATACTGATCATTCTACTGCGATCATTTACATCTTAAACCGGAATGCGTGTAATCCTTGCATCCTTCCAAGCATTTGAAAAATTATCTTTGAAATTGCTTACTTAGAATCCTGATGCTTAGCAATATATTTGAACTTCTGCAGTATTAGGCGGCACTGGTGCTTGAGCACAGAGTCGGCTAGAGTACTATTCCTGAATTCTTCAAGTTCTCTTGTCAGGAGCTGCCCAGCTCGCAAATTCCTTGCGCCTAAATGTTCAGCACAAAGTAACAGAGCCTGTGCATCCTGTAACCTGCAAAAGCAACGGTTACTTAAAAAAAAAAAAAAAAAAAAAGGACCAGAAAGATCTGATATCATTCTACAGGTGCAAATTGCGATAGTAAGCCAAAAAAACACAATGGAAAATTGTCACAAACAAAAAGAGAAGTAGACTACCTATTGGTCGAAGTTGCCGTAGAGTCGTGATTGAAGAGGACCTTGTGTATGTGATCAATGATAACATTCAAAGGATCCTCAGGATCATCAGCCAGCAACGGATCTAGACCCTCAAGATCAAAGTGCTCCGCCAAGGCCCATATGACACGGGCTCGCAACCTTGAAGTAGCAACCTGCACAGAGAAAATGACTCTTAAATCTCCTTCGAGGCACTAATCTGGAGAAAGTTCAAGTAACAAAATCACAACCAAATCAAATTCAATTCAGATACTTGTAGTCGATGTATTCATCAGCTCAACTTAATTATAAGCAGAAAAGCTACACGAGCTAGACTAAATGAACAAACAGGTAAAATACAATGGAAATATACTAGAAACCCCGTTTCCCACATTGTACACACTCATACCAAGAATCAAGAGCTATTTTACATGAAGACTATGGTGAAAGTAACAACTCCGTGACTTGATGCACTAACCGCATTGAGATCTTTAACAAGTTCCCGTTGAAGAGCCTGCAATCGTTTTTCTGCCAAAATTTGCTCAGGGGATGCACCATCCTTAGCTTTCTTCACACCCCCAACCGTGTCATAGATATGACATAACCGCACTAGCAGCTTCAAATAGCAGTCCATGGCATAAGTGCGACCTGCCAGAAACATAAGATTTCACTACTGCAAGCATCTCCATAGCCGAAAAACAAGAAACTCTTCACACTACCACACACAGTGCAGGGCGCAATCATATCAATCAGAAGACAATTATTTAGAGACGAATGCTGCACCTTGGCAATCCCACTTGACGCAAGGCCTGCAAACCTCCACTACTTCCAGAGCTGATTGGGTCCAGTTCATAGCTCCAGACCCCGTACCATAAGTTACGGCTCCTATAACACGGCTCTCAGTATCCTGAGATTTTAAGCGCGGCAGAGGGACAGACAGCTGGAAACAGCTCTCAACTAGACAGGCAACCAATTCTTCTCGAAAAAGACCTTCACTCTGGATCCTTCGCTCTGATCCTCGCTCATTTCCTCCCTTATTTATGGAGGTTTCAAGAGAGATGCTTGTCATTTCCTCCCTTATTTTTGACTCCTCAAATAGTGAAGCTATATTCGTGTTCTGTAACGGTTTTTGACCACTTCTAACGCTTCCCTTCGCAAAAAGGTCCACACACAGTGCAGTTCGGCAGATACAGGCGAGAGCATGCATGCGATCCGCTTCAACTCTTAGATTCCTTACCATTAGAAGAAGACGTTTGAAAAGTGACACCTGCAGTGTCACGTGAAGCACATAAGCAATCTATTGAACTTCATACACAGCTCTCTCTCTGTGTGGGAGTAGGTGATTCAAACAAAAAAAAAAGATCAGCAATAAGCGAAGCAGAAAACACGGATCATTAAAAAGAGGGCATGGAAGATATCAGTGTACTTCTCAAATTACTGGAAGTCGAACCTGCAAGTGAAGGTCCAAGAGTTGAAGATTTTTCACGACTGCACGAACGATGCTCTCTCGCCCTGCATTAAACTCCTGTCGATCCCATAGCGTGAGTAGTGCAGTGATTGGTGCCGATGCCCACTCAGGCTTTCCTCCTGGCACATCTGCCAAGGAAAGGAGGTTCACACTAACCTCATAAACTAAAGCTGGGTCAAGTACAAATAAGTAAGGCATAAGGTGGGAAACCACGTCCGAAATTCCAAGAATGTTCTCGGCATTGTCTCTCTGCATTACTGCCCTTCGAGACCTCACATGATTCCCCGACAGCATCTGTTCCACCAGAACCATGGTTAGCAGGATCAATACGAAGAACAATCGAAAACAAGAGACGCGCAGCATCTTCGAGGACCACTTGCGAATGACAGATCCTAATGGACCTCCTAGTAAGGCACTCTTTACTGAACAACAATACTGTCCCAGTTCATAAATCTTTGATGCCATAAATTTGTGAACCACTGAAATTCGCAGCTTCTTGTCACATTTGTGTAGACCTTTACTAGCCCGAACATTCAATCCTCATGTAGCAGTACTCATGGTTTGACATTCTTTCGGCTTCGAGGTTAAGCCAGCATTGATGTAAGAGATCTGACTCTATGTGAATGGCAAACTAGCAATGATGACAGAGAGCTTCGATTTTTCATGGTTAGTTACTGCTCCACTTGATGACACAAGGGTCTGCGTCGACTAATAGGAAATGATTGGAATTGTTTTAACCACGAAGGTGAAGATTAATACTTGCCTCCATTTCCTCTACCATTCCGGTAGCCACGGCCTTAGCTGAGAAAACAAGCGGGTAAACAGACGATCGAAAGCTCTCGAGTGTTAAAACCTTGGCACGGGCCCTCAGCAAATCGGCCTTTTCCCACACAAATCTGCACATGGCCGCAACCCAGCCGGAGCGAATGGCAACGGCATCTTCCGTGGGCACAAGCTTGTCACCCGCTAGCCTGCTCATCCTCTTAGTACTAAACTCCAGGAAGAGGCGCCCGACGCCTTCGTATGCAATCCTCGCCACGGCGTCGTAGGGATGGAGCATGGTTTCACCGAGCTGCCGCCACCATAATGACACTTTCTCCAGCAATGGGGCGCTCGACACGCAGAGGTTGACAAGATCGTCCCGAGCAAGCAAGCACCCGAGCGTCTCGATTATCGCATACCTCAAATTCGGGTTGTCGCTTAAAATGCAATTAGAAATCTTGTCGCTGCAATCGATGATAAAATTCCCAAGTCGCCAAGATGGAATTGCGGATATGAAGGAAACTGCCGCGGCTGTGACGTCCGAGTCCGGAAAATCGAAATCATTAAGAATGCCGCGACACACGACCTCCCACTGCTCTGCGGTCAGGCGCGTGCACCTGACTAAGTCGAAGGCCAGCTTCTTACACACCGCACTTGCGGGGCTAGCAATTACCTCATCGCAAGCGGAGCTCGCAATAGAGGAGATGTCTTTCCCTGACGCCGCTTGCTGCAGCGCCAGCAGTAGCGCGTTCGCTTGCCGCACCCCATCGTTGGAGGCGAGCTCCGTCCGAATCCCTGCAAACACATGATCCATCGAATTCTTCCCTCCACCCAATCTCTCCAAACCCTTCACTCATCTCCCACTCCACAATCCACTCCAGAATCCTCACCCGAACTTCACCCACGCCCTTTCCCCTCTCGCTGCAATCTTTCAAGGTTGCCTGTGTATATCCTAATCCTAACCCTAACTCCAAACCTCCTCTAACACAAACCTTCAGGAATCAATTTCACAAGAGAGATGACGAAAAACTCCCTCGTCTATACTGACGCTACAGAACCCTCATCCAAAACCCATTTGACTTAGTCGCTTTTCCGGCAACTTCTTGACGTCGGGATTCCCTCTGAATTAACCTCAAAAGTGGTACGCAAGCTACTTTTGCGCAGTTGCGATGTTTCGTTAACATGACTGTTATTTATAACTCGCCATATAAACACTCTCAATTTGCCGTGCTTTGAATCTTCAGATGAGGGTGCTTGATACTGAGCTGGCGAATTCATCGACATTCTGTACTCAATATGACATTCTTCACACTCGACAGGGAAGTCGATCGATCACAATAATGAAATATGGTTGCAGACAATTTGTAAAAAAATATCATGAATGAATGAATGAATGAATTACAGCCCTTGCGGGAGAGAACTAATGGCCTAATTATGGTACTACTACTGCTTCTTGCAGCTGAGAGAAACCACACTGAATTAGCTCGGCCGAACCACATGAGCTATCTGTTTACTTCATTAACCTCTTGTAGAACTAAAATTAGAAGTACAGAGCAATGGATCATCCCAAAATGAAAGTTTAAGTGACACTGCTGCGGACGTTGAGAATCAAGTCGTGAAGTTCGGGGAATGTCTGCACCAGGAGCATCTCCAAGAGGCCGTAAGTCAGCTGCTTCACACAAACGGTAGACTGCATCACCCACATACCCCATTCAGATAGAAAGGTTAATATCTGCTAGTCTGTAAAACCATGGCATTCATTGGCACCCGAGATGTACATGCTACAGCTACAGAATGTTACGTGGGGCTACTCTGAAAGGATGTTGTACTAAGTTAAAGTCATGAACAGGAATTCGCAGTTGAAATTATCAATCATTCCCTGGTTGAAGAGAAACCTGAGAGAAATAATAAATATCTTTTGCGCATCTTGTATACTGCTTCTTGCCAATAAGGCTCACAAGAGGGGTGGGTGCTTTTTCTGCAGGATAATGAAACACTATTGGTGAGAACCTCGAGAAACTTGAGCCCTTTGATTTTCAGTCAATTGGTGGTGAGCAGACTTCAAAAGCAAAGAATTCATGAATAAGGGGTATTTGCTTACCCAGAATAGTCTCGCGCACAATGCTAGCCCGTCTTGCAGCCTCGAGTCGGTATTCAAAACAGTTGGTGGGGGGGCGTTGCTGCCATTCGTAGCCTGCTTCTACCACCTCATGCCCTGTGCTTTCCAGTATTGCAGCACTTGCTGCCGGCAGGTTTCTGGGGTGCTTTGTGACAAAAATACCGTCTGGCCATAATATCTACAATGACAACATTCACATGATGAAAAAATGTCCTACGCGTGGATAGTTCAAACTAAGTGTCAAAGATTAGGAGACAAGACTCACCTCTCTCACCCACTGAATCCCTGATGCTACCACCTCTTCTCGGCGCAACCACTGGATCCTCCCCAGCAGCCAGTCGTCAATAGCATCACCCATTCCAAGCTGCAGAATTTGCTTCGCTATCCACAATACCTGTCTCCTGAAAAACAATCAATTCACAGCAATGATCAGTAGATGGTTGATCCATGAGGAGGACACACAGAAATGACGAAGCTAATTGTTAAATAACACCAAATCGAAATCTCACGGATTAACGAAGTACCTGATCCAACCCCGGCCTTGGAGCTGGAAAATAAGATCCACCAAGTTGAGAAGCGGCACACTCACTTTCGGTGGATACCACTGCAAGAGCCATGTGTACCTATTAAAAACGTCAAACAGATCCAGTGATTTTCATTAAGCGAACAACAGAACTAAGCACATTTAAGTGGAGTTCTTGAGACTACCTCTTGAGGAATAACCAGATCGTCTGCAACTGTTTCAGAAGCGTAGGATTCAACGGGTGAGTGCCCATCTGAAAACGTCCCCTCCAGTCGGCTGCCAAGGAAGCGGTTATCTAAGCCAGAGAAAAAAGGAAGTGGCCCCGTCTTCAACGCTTCAGTGTCCGAAGAATCTAGATGAACATCACTATCTGATTGCCACCCAAGCGATCCCAACCCAGGCACGTTTGCTCCAAAGGCTCCTCCATACTCATCCCCTGAAACTGAGGCTCCTGTGGGTTTTTCACTAAGTTCACCATCGGTTAGGTCGGGTGTTGTCAAAGGAGCATGAAGTCTTGAAGCAAAATTTCCATATGTCAATTCCCGAGTATCTTCAAAAGCAACTGCGTCGCTCATATCTGCACAACTTGTAGGAAGCCTTTGCCGTATCCCCGTTGTGGCAGTTTTGATCACCCCAGAGATATCATCTGATACTCCACGAATCTGGCGAACCATGTCGTCTACTGCATCGTCCACATTCACTGCAACCAGCAAGTTTTCTTTTGTGAGCGAGATAGGCATATAGCAGCATCCAGCAAGAAGGATGAGGAAAATAAGTAGGTGCTTTACCGGCTAATGTCTTGATCATAGAAACAGAATTGTCGTGTGTGTAGTGCTGGAGATGAAACCACACATCGAGGTCAGTTAGTATTTAAGATTTACAAAAGAACTGAAAAAAAATTATATAAATCTGAAAAGATAGACATGTCGCATTCTAAACCACCAAGATGACTAGTACGAAATATGAGAAGACATTTCGAAAATAAAATGTAAAAAAGAAAAAAGAAAAAAGAAAGAAAATGGACAAATCATAGACAGAGGAAAATAAAGCTTGAATTCATCAAGAATTCTAGCAAGACAGATGTACAACACATACCACGTGGCATGTTCACACTTAAGAGGAGACAATCAATAACATGAGTGACCGTGCCAATTCACGATCACTACATCACCAGACTTTGCCAGGTCCAACAGTAGATCTCACATACTAAGAGTCTGTTACGATTCTGGTCATAATTGGACGACTCAGCCACGTTGATGTGGAACCACTTCAACCAAAAAAAATACCGCTTTTCGGATTTTGGAAAAAGCTTAACCTACAGTTGAAGTCATATACAGCTTCAAATGTATACATCAATTCGTGACGGGTTAAATAAAAGACAAAGAAAAAAGACGAAGGAAACCTTTGAAAAGCAACTATACGAATGAAGACCACTTCATCTACGAAGAAATATACTAGCTTAGAAATAAAATTCTAAGAAACTGTTTCTGAAGGAGGTTATGAACCTGAGAATTCAGGCTCAAAAAGTCCCATACTTCATGTAGCTCAGCAACACTTGGGATGGCTAACAAATCCTGCAGCCACAGTAATTACAGCACACAAAACATGAGACATTGAACCATTACGCCAGATGGTTAGACGAGTACAGAAAATGTTTCAAAACAGAGCTAGCATTGTATGATGAAGATCAGAAATGCAACAATCCAAGTTAAAGAGCGAACATCATTGGGATACCAAATTGTCTACTTTCAAATTAGTGCATAGGAGCGTTTCTACGAGAGAAAGTTTTCAAATAGGGGCCGACATAATTACTTTCAAGTACTTGTCAAGGAGGGTGCAGCGCTCGCGGACAAAAGTACTGTCAAGGCTTGAAGAAAGGAACCTCTTTGGAGGTAGGGTAAGATTATAGTATGGCATATCTTTCAAACGCCTATGCAACTGCTCAAAGTTTCGAAACCTACACCGCAAGAAAACCAAGTCAGTCACCGAGTCGTGTACAATCATTGAGCACCCTATGATCTTGAAAAAGGAATATAACCATACGTAAAATCAATTCATATCCATTGCAATCTTATGCTATATCATAGTTATAACCAAGTCTGCAGAATGCTATTCAGTCGAGTTTCTCTAAATTTTCTTTGCTGAGTGTGTATATTTAAGTCCACAATATATACATTTCAGACCACATATAGTTGTATCATCCAGCAAATAAGTGCTTTAATGCACTTAAATATCAGCTAGAAAACTTCTTTGAACCCCAAAAATTTATGATTTCCATTCAAGAATCTATTAGCCCTTTTAATCGCTGCCAAACCGTACCTTCTTTGAATTTGCCAGGTGCGATTTTCAGTGTCTTTCACCTGGATTATATATACAGCAAAGGTCCTTGATCCAATTTTCTCGAAATGAGCCACTAATACCTGCACAATACCCCAAGATATTAATAAATACACATCATCAGGTCCTGATGATAAAGAACGAGGATTCCACATTAGACACATATGATCAAATTTTTTGTTCGAGCAGTACTACATTCATCCTAAGATCAAATTGGTTGAAAAATGATTAACATCTTACGGGGGACAGGAAGATGAAGTAGAACACAATTTCAATAGCCTATTTAACTTGACAGCTGAAAAATGTGAAGTGGTTTTGGTGCTCCAATAATACATATCATTCATGTTTATGGTATGCAACTCACAGGAATGCCAGAAATTTGGGTCTTACCCGACAATGCAGCATGCTTAGCGGTGTTTGCATCACTATGGCATCAACATCAGCATGTACTGGAGGCCGAGACGGATCCGGCATCGGAGATTTCCTTGAACTTCTCCAACGTCCATACGACTCCGAGGCAGAACTTCTAGCCGGAGAAGTGTCTTCAGCATTCACCAAAGGAGTCAGACCCTGCGATGATCCCCCTTCTAGACCATTCCACCCATCCAATATCCCTCCACTGCTTTTGGTCTTACGATGAGACAGTATCTTCACCGCTTTCCTTAACCTCTGCGACGATAAGCCTGGCCTGTAGTGGTGCCTGGATCTTGGTGACTGCCCACTAGTTTCCGCTTTCGGTTGACTGATTCTACTAGAACTATCTAAATCTTCATTAGTGCCAAGCCTTTCAAATTCTGGACCTCTAGGACTGCTGCCATCAGTAACATTATTTGGGTTGCCCATCGACTGAAAATTTGGATGGGGAGTTCCTAAAGTAGAGAAGCCTATCCCAGGTAAAAGCTTATCCCCCTCTTTTGAGTCCCCAAACAAGAGTGCTCCATTCGACTCAATGACGTTCTTATCTTTAATCGGCAGTGCCGAGGCGTCTAAATGGTAGTCATCTACTTCCATACGTATGGGAGAGGCAACTGTGTCCTTGGAATTGAGCTCTTCATTCATACACATTTCCTGACCTGAAAGTACCTCACTGGAAATGTCTACCTCCACTGGAATAGGTGCTAGTGAATTAGTGGCAGGGTCTTTGATACCTGCTGGTACGGGCATCGCAGGCGTAGTGATTGTTTCAATTTCTCGCTTTTTATAATCTCGACCTTTGGTCCAAAGATTGTCCAGATGCTCTGGAGCTAGAGCTTGAACTCGCCTTTGAGTCACTGCGTCAAGAGCCTGCCATGAAAATGAAAAGAACGAGATGAGACATGCGCAGAGTAAAGACACCTTGATTATGTTCAAAAGGTCGTTTTGATCCTCTCAAATACATAAAAATACCTTCATGTCTCATTTGGGAGATTCAGAACCATCAACTTTGCAAAATTATGTGAAGTCTGAAAATGGTAACCGATTCCCATAGAATACCTGGGGCCCGCTGCCAGGGGGGGGAGGTCCCACTTCCTTCATGGTGTCGGGAATGAATTGTTCAGTTCCTTTTGCCTGGTTGGTTTTTAACATGCATTCCAGAGTTAGTAAGTTTCACCTCTCCCACATTATTAGCATAAGTGCGCGAGAGCATGATAGTATAGCAAATCATTTCACAGAACTGTACCCACACATCAAAAGGCCCATCAACATATCCAGCATGCATGCACGCTACCTCTTTCACAGGCTTTATAGCATATGGTGGCTGACTTTGAGTAGAACCTTCAACATCTCCTATTGCCTTTACATGTTTTTTCTTTTTCTTCAAGGGGTTGATTTCTGACACAACTTGCTTCGGGCTACGAGGTAAGCGGCTCAGTCCAATTGTTTCATGCCCAGATACAGATGTTCTCTTCTGAGAAGTGGGATCAGAGACGCGCTGTTGTGTGGGTCCAGATGCCTTTTCACTGCCCTGACGTTCCTTTTCCGTTGAAGCAATTACTAGAGATTCGATAAGTTCATTGATATACCTAAAGCAAACAACCCCTAAATCAAACAAGTAACCGGCAAGAAATAAAGGACAGGCATTCAAAAGAGTTACGGAGGACAAATCGAGAAGCCACCACTGCGTCATGAAGCGGTGGAAGATGAAAATTGAACTAAAACCAGATATACACAAATCTTCACAACAAAACATCTTAATGAAACGACATGCAACGCTATAATGAGTTGGCAAAGAGCTTTACGGCCCTGGAGAACACCTACCCAGGAGTCGCAAAGTTAAGGACAGGTCGTAGCACAGCACAAGCTAGCAGCTCTCGGGCTAAAGTCCTTAACAAACGACAGTGTGAATCCTGTCGTTTCAGCACTAATGCAACTATCCCTCCAGTCAGCTTTTTCAATACCTGAAAACATACGAGGTATTCAGCTGCAAAATAAATAGGAATTAATGCCACAAAGCTGAAGCATCTCTAAATAGAATGCACACCAAGAAAGAGTTAGGATTCCTAAATATCTGTAAATAGGGTGCAAACACCCAATATGGCAAGAACCTCTACCTTAATGCTTAAATTAACTTATGGGACTTAACAATTTGTGGAACTGGTACCTCAGAATACGATGCGGGATAGACAGTCATTCAAAACTATACCATAACAAAATATAATATCTCATTACACTCAACTCTAGAAGCATCAAGCAATAAGTCTTTCATGTTACGCAAGATTTCTCTTTGCCCTGAATTAAAATTTGCATAATAATATACGAACCTTGTATTCAGCTTCATCTGAAACAAGAGCTGGGTGCAACTTGCGGGAGGTCATCATAGCAAACTTTAACTTCTCATCCCTCTCTTCGATAGACAATGATGCGATTATGTCAGGTCCGATCTTGGATTTCATTTGCCGATAAAGTTCGAAATGAGTCCCGACCAGTTCCACCACATCTCTGCAGCATGATGTGGACAAATGCGGTTGACTACGTAAACAAAACTTGACACATGATGTTCTGCTCTCCTATACCACTAAAATCCCACAACATGTGTATAGACTAATTCGCTGCTGGAATACCCAGATCTTGTTCAGATGCGGAACAACTAGAAAATACCATGAATACCAGTCTATGATATTATGTAAGATGTATACAGATTCAATAGCAGCGCACAGAACCTATGGTTGGCAGAACCTTACCTTGATAGTAGAGTGACCAGATCCACACGTTTCGCACGATGAGCAACCTCAGCAATCACGCCATTCAAGAGAATCCGTAATTCTTCAGGAGCCTCTTGATCAGGGGTAATGGAAGAATACCAGAGACTAGTAATAAACTCATCAATTACACACCTTGTAAGCTCATCCACTGCTTTCTCCACCACAAGTGAGTCAATCTGGCGGCGCCATCTGAAAGTGTGAGCACTATTTGTCAAGAAACTTTATTTAATTTTAAAACAACATCCCCCCTGGATTTCTTTGATAACAATTAACTTCTTGCTGAGTTCTTTCCCAATTGAAAACGACCTACAATCAGGTTAGCTCGGAAAAATCATCTTCTTAACATACATGAAGACGAAAAGCAAAGAAAAACGAGAGAGAGAGAGAGTACACTGAACTGTAAGCAAAATCGTTTTTGCATATAAGTAAATGTTGTCAGATATGATAGTCATTCCATTACAACAAATAGCCGAGGCAAATTTGTTAATAAATACCAAAACAATTGATACGAGAAACTACACGTAGAGTACAAAAATGAGAAAGTAAAATAAGAGAACAAACCGGGTAGCCGCCACATGGGTCGGAAGTCCAGAGAGAAGGGGGTCATAATTGGTCAGCTGACGGCGGTGCTGATGCAACGCGTATTGCGGTCGACTCTGATTTATTCGAGGCCTCCAGCGAAATTCGACCTCGAAAGAAAGACGGCGTAAGGCAGCCAAGACGAGAATGGAAACAGGCAGATTGATCCATACCGAACTGCTGGTCACTGCACCACGACCGCATAAACACAAAAAAAAATTACAATTAGCAAGCGAAGGTCCTAACGAGATGTGAGAAAAATCGTGTTCTAATGAGAAACTATGTAATCACATGGCAGTTAAATATTGCAGCAATTTGACAGGAATAACAACCAGCATTCCGATCAGCAAAGGAAGTCATCAGAAACAGCAACAGTGCGCTGACACCATTTCACGGTCTCCTTGGTTAAAATCCCAAGTGAAGGGAATTTCCCAGCACCTGATTGATAAATTCCACCCAATAGTTTGAAAGGAGTGCACTATTTGATAATAAATCAACAAGTCAACATGAACAGATCTATCTGCAGAATATGTTCACCAAGTGATCAGAACATGATCCTTCATGAAGAACCGAGTTGTAAATGAAGAGTAGGCATACATGACATAACGTAAGCAACAATGAGCACCAAAATTGCCACCAGAATTGTCCGCCGTTTAGCCTCCTCCAACAAATCTTTCAGCGTCTCCATGGTTAACCTGATACTCAGGTGCTCGCAGACAATGCGCAATCCACTAATCCGTGACTGCCAATCACTACATTCTGACACTAGCGCATTTCCATACAGCTACACAATGCGGAGTCCCATACTTTCTAGAGCAGACCTAATAGTTTCCAAAATCCAAAATGTCAGTCGACCCCAACTGGAAAATTGGAGGCTCAGCTATTTGCCGATCACCCAGGAGCACTTCCATGCTTGAACCAGTCACAACTGCTTCTAATTTTGCTACAAAATCCCAATCCGTCCTTTCACCATCCAATCATGACCTTGATAAAGTATTGAACCTACAAACTATTTGGACAGCTAAACCCTGTTTCAAAAATCTTCAGATAAGTTTGAATTGGAGAAGTCTTCCACGTAATAAGATAATCACAAAGAGATTCGGATCCGACAACGTTGAACTATTCCCGCTTCTTCTCGTACGAACGATTAACACCAGGGCACCAAATCGATACTTCGTGGATTCAATTACAGGAATCCGAGAACCCTTCCCAGGACGTCCCCCCTAAACTGGAATTTCAAGTTGCTTGTCTCCTTCGAGAAAGAGCCATAACCCTAATTCGAAGCCTACATTCTCGTATGAAATTTCTCACAATCCAAATCCTGCAAATTCCATCGCCAACCACATTAACGACTGCTCTTCCCACCTGCAGATTTCAGGCAATCCTTCCCAATAGCACCTGCTCTTTGACTACAGAATATCAAGTTTGGTTGCGACTCTACCCACCAATCCTCGCCCCATTTCTTACTTCAGACCCCCAAAACCTGAATCAACACTCGACGTAGAGAGTTTCCAAAGAAAAGCCCTCCTTGGGATCCGTTCCTCCTAAGACACTCGGCATGCACCCCACACAACCTAATCGCAAAAACCCTGCCCTTCATCACAAGCAACCGCTTATGTGTGAAACACCAAGGCACAACTGCTCCACAATCTCGCTTCAAACTCTACAAACTTCCTAGTTCTCCTCTATATAGCACTCTCGAACAGCTACAGTATCAAATGTAAAACTCATCATGCTCTACAGCACTAGCGTCCATCCACAAGAATCAAGCTGCGATCACGCTTCGATCACGCATTACATCTGGAGATAATCTGGCATAATTTTCCGAATGCACAACTGCGATTGCTTTAGTGGTGCCTCGATGCTCGTGAACTAATCTGTCAACAGCTTACTTTCCACCCAGCGTCGAGAATGAGCCAACACAGGGGCAAAAGCTGTGACCAAGCACTTAATTGGTAGGAGCACATCGCACAGGGCAGCTGCCCTTGGACATTTCAAATCGCGGCACTCAAAGGTGTTCAAACGTCTCAAAAGACACCTGTGCCTGAATGTTCATCGATCTTCAAACCTCGCAGCCTGCAATGCTCCACACACAATGATTTCACAGCTGTCCTTCTAGGTTGGCGGTTAGCAGCTTCCCATCCTTTTCTTCCCCTCAAATATGTTCATGGTTCATTTAAATATTTAGCGCTACAATTCTACGCTGTCTCTTCTTGTTACTTGAGTAATCCAGCAGATTTGCCACAAATTTGGACAGAAGTGTGAATGACGCTACAATTTGAAAGAATTCTTTTTATAGAAACTGCGTGCACAACTAAGTCAGTGAAGAGTCGACCAGTCCCATTGAAGTCTAAGCTTTCTTTAGTGCGGGCCACGGTAGTTCCTTAACGATCTACAGTAACCGCAAAACTGCCTATTCTTTACCTCGATTCGCTGCAAGGGTTGATGACAACACAGGTGCAACAGCCACATGATTTGTCAACGCAGTTTCGGATCCACCATGTCACTCGTGGCGAGAAGAATGGTGTGGCCCTTAAGCGTGAAGACCTCCATTGACAATAGTTTTGTTTTAGTTATCATTGATAGTTAGGATTTACGTAATAAAAATTATTTAACCATCAATAACTCGTTGTCCAACAACTTTCGATACATATTCTCGCTCCTTTGTCCCTTTATTGAAAATACCCAGCAAAAGACCTACTATATTCATTTTCAGTTGAAACCGATAAATAGGGTTCCGTAACTATGAGAGCTTTCCTCATTTTTCTTTGTCGTACTCAGTCACATTGTTGCTACAAAATTCCGAAAACAGAGAAAAATTAACTCAGCTGACTGAAGATAAGTAGATTTCCTAGTAGTTTTTCAATCTAGAAACTTGTGGTGTCCACACGACAATAAAAACTAAAAAGTTTTAATTAGCATGGACAGAATTCAAAATTGATAAGGAAAGCAGATGAGAATTAGGTGTCAACAAGTGAGAAGGTGATGAGGACTCCAGCAATAAGCAAACTGAGCTCTCCATAATATTTACTGTAGACTACAGTAATTACCATAGCTACAGTATTTAGAGTTTAGTGGAGAAGTATCGTTCATCCTCTTCTCTTTTCTCTTCTTGTATACGAGACACAACCAGATCAATAGATTTGTGTGTGTGTGAAGCTCTCTCCCCTTAGAAACCCTCTTGTGTGTATGACTTACTACTACTCTTGTGTGTATGACTTACTACTACTCTTGTGTGTGTATGACTTACTACTACTCTTGTGTGTGTGTATGACTTACTATTACTCTTGTGTCTTTCTAAACATTCTCAACAGGTTATCAGGACGACTCTCTTCTACACACTATCACAATTTATTGCTCTAGTCTTTGACTCTTCAAACCTGTGGCTACCCTTGCTCAATGTCTGCGTCTTGCTAATCTTGTTCTTCTTGCTGGCCCTTCACACATAAGCTGCTTGCTTAGAGCACTTGTTCCACTCCCTGCCTTGCTTGCTCTCAATACTTGATCCAGCCCAACTCCACCCTCTGCTTGCTCCTGCTGCGCCCCGCGCTTGCCATCGAACAAACGCCGAAATGCTGCCAAATCCACCGCTGCCACCCTGTCGTCGCTAACGCTGCCGCCCGCCGCCGTTCCCACCCTAACGCCGCTGCCACCCTGTCGTCACTAACGCTGCCGCCCGCCGCCGTCGCCGCCCTAACGCCGCTGCCGCTGTCGCCGTTGTCATCGCTAATGCTGCCGCCCGCCGCCGTCGCCGCCCTAATGCCGCTACCGCCGTCGCCGTTGTCGTCGCTGTCCGCTGCTGCCCGCCGTTGCCCGCTGCCCCCCGCTGTTGCCCGCCGCTGCCACCCTGCCGCCCTACCGCTGCCTACTGTCACCATCTTATTGCTGTTCTGCTGCCTTAATCTACAATTCTTTCTTCTTAAAATATATATATATATATATATATTATTTTTTAAATTTCAAATTTATCATTTTATTTGACTTTATATTTTAAGGTACATTTTACTCAACTTTTCTATTTGATCTTGTATTTTCTTTACAGATTTATTTATAATGAGTGCTTCAACATCTTTAACTGCTTCTACTATGGTTCCAACTATTACGAGTGCATCCCAACATTTTCAAGCTCTTTTATTTCCACCATTGACTGTGGATGGAAACAATTATCTATTATGAGCAAAAATGGCAAAAGCAAATTTATTTGCAGAACAACTCTCGGATGTCATTATGTTTGAAAAATCTCCTAGAACAAGTATTTATATACCTCTTGCTATTCGTTGGAAAGCACTTCTTTTCCTTCGTCGTCATCTTGTACCTGCATTACAACATCAATATTTGGAAATGGAAGATCCTACAGAACTTTGGAAGAATCTTAAATCTAGGTTTGATCATCAAAAGACCATTTTTTTTCCACGTGCACGTCATAATTGGACACATTTAGGTGTCTTGGATTTTCCAAATTTAAATGCTTTCAATAGTGAAATGTATAGTATTGTCTCACAATTACGATTATGTGGACAAAGCATTTCTGAAGAAGAAAAGTTTGAGAAAAGTGTCTCTATATTTCCTCCTAAATCTACTGTGCTTGCACAACAATACAAGAACATGAAATTTCAGAGTCATTCTGATCTCATGTCCTATCTACTTCTTGGGAGAAGCAAAATGAACTACTCTAATGAAATGTGGAAGCTCGTCCTATTGGAACTACAGTTCCAAAATCTCATGCATTTAATATTTCAAAGTCTAAGAAGAAATTATATAAACATGAAAAACCTGCTTATAAGTATCACGGTAGTCATAATCAAGACCATTTCTATCCATATGGAAAGAATAAACGTGTCACGGACATACTTTTGTAAGCTAGTAATTACATATACAAATAGGTAGAAGTAAGTAAAAGTAGGTAGAAATAAATTAATTCTATAGTATTTAATATGGAAGCTTCCTAGAAGCTTAATAGATGCTACTTTGACTTCATAGGTGTCTTTAATTGACTTTTTGGATTAGAAACGTGGTCAATAAGTTGGCCATGTGCCACACATGTTGTTAGCTTGAAGATCAAGCTAACTATATGGCCCACATGTAGAAAAACTTGCCTTGTAAGTCAAGGCATGTGTCCTACAAAGTCAACACATATTGGAGGTCTTATAGAATGTTGCCACGTAGCCCCTAGTTATATAGTATATATAGAGACAAGAGTGAAGCCTTCTTCACTCTTGTCAACTCCTTTCTTGCTTCCGGTCTAGTTTCAAGGGTCTCTAGTTTTCTTGTCTTTTGGCAATAGCCATTCCAGTTTCTCTTTCAATATACATACTTGTTTATTTATATTTTGTTATCTTTCTTTGAGTGAAGGCTCACTTGTCTGAATTATTTTTTCATCGAGTTCTTGTCCTTGACAGATTGACAAGAGTACACCTACAATATCAGAGCTTTGTCTAATCTTGATTAAGAGTGGATTACCCTTTTTTCTTGATAAGATATAAGCATATTAGAAGTTGCAGATTACCCTCTTTTAAACTGATATTGTCATTAGTATTTTCTTTGTTCTCAAATCCTCTGTTCTATTTGTCTTGAGCGATATTAGACATCTTCTCTCTTCTAAGTGTTATCATGGCAGAACTTGTTGAAATGAAGAGTGCAATGGCACAAATGCAAGAGCAATTGAGGGAATTAATGCTTGCGATGCATCAACTCAATTTACCACCACAAGGAGCAACAAGATTGGCAGGAAGTGAAGATATAGAAATGGTTGGAGCTGCTTCAACATTTGCACCAAACCATGTCCTTTTTCCTATGGTGGAACGCCCTTCAAATGTTAGAGAACCAAGAATTGCCCTACCCGAGAAGTTTGATGGTACCAGATTCAAGTTTCGAGGATTTATCAATCAAGTGCAACTTGTCATTGAACTTCAACCCCAAAGCTATCCAACTCCAGGATCACAAGTTAGATTCATTGATACGCTTCTTTCAGGTTCAGCACTATCGTGGTTTTCATCTTTTCTTAAACGACGAGATCCAATATTGGATAATTTAGAGGCTTTTTTGGTGGAGTTTTGATCCATGTATGGAGAACATGATGCAATTTGTGTTGCAACCAATAAGATCCGTATTTTACAACAAGGCAATTGATCAGTAACGTTATACGCTTCACAATTTTGACAACTTGCAACTAATATCAAGTGGAATGATGCTACACTTATTAGTCAATTTTTCTACGGATTGCAATATGAGGTAAAAAAATTAATGCTCAACTTACTTGATCCTCAAATCTTGAGTCAAGCAATTGACTTTGCTGTGAAGTGCGACAATCACCTTTTTGAATTTCGATCTGAGAATCGTACAAGTGGACCTCAACGTTACTATAATTCAATGGCAACACCAACACCTCTTCAATACATACATTCGGAAGTAGAGGATATGCAAATTGATGCAGTACGTTTCAAACCTCTTACTGAGTAAGAAAAGACTCATCGTCATCAAGAAGGATTATGTTTATATTATGGAGAACCAAAGCACATTGCTCAACATTGTCCAAAGAAACGACGCAATCACAAAATGAAGAGTATGGCTGTGAAAGAAGATAATATGTCGAAAAACGAGTTTGTTCAGCTACAATAGGAACCGTGCGGCTGGAATCTTGCACAACATCTAGTAAGGGTCCTATTCTCTCCTCAAAGCCCTCTCCTTGTTTTACATTAAATATTATTTTAGGACCTAAACATTACAAAGTCTCTGCCTTGTTAGATTCAAGAGCCTCAACTTGTTTTTTAGATGAAGAATTTACTAAAAGACATAGCATATCTTTAGTAAAGAAAACTAAACCTGTTCATTTAGAAGTCATAGATGGTCGTCCATTGTCTTCTGGAGATATTACTCACGAAATCCTTCTTATAGAAGTAATAATCAATGGTCATAATAGTTTTGTGGTATTTAATATCATTAGATCTCCCTCTAATCCAATCATTTTAAGTTTATCGTGGTTAGAAAAATACAACTCTCAAATAGATTGGATTTCCCAAACTCTTACTTTCTCCAAAAGTATAACTAATGAAGTAGAGAGTCATAAGTCTAGTTCAATTAAACTCGTATTTATAGGTGCAAAAGCTTTCTTGCATCCTGCTATGAAAGAATCACCATATATTATTTATGCCACACCCATTTCTAGTGGTGAAAAGACTTCAAGTGGCATTCCAAGCCAATATCAAGAATTTCAAGATGTATTCGAAAAAAAGAATGCGGATACACTCCCGGAACATCGTCCCTATGATTACTCAATTGACCTTCAAGAAGGAGCACAACCGCCATTCGGACCAATCTATAATTTATCACAAAATGAGTTGGCTGAACTCAAAGAGTATATTGAAGAAAATCTAGCCAAGAATTTCATACGCCATTCTAAATCTCCAGCAGGAGCTCCAATTCTATTTGTGAAAAAAAAAGATGGATCATTACGGATGTATGTTGATTATCGAGGACTCAACAAGATTACCATCAAGAACAAGTATCTACTACCTTTACTATCTGGACTTCTTGATCAGCTGAATCAAGCTAAGATCTATACAAAAATAGATCTTCGGAGAGCATACAATCTAATACACATCAAAGAAGGAGATGAATAGAAGGCTGCGTTTCGAACTAGGTATGGACATTTTGAATACAATGTCATGCCTTTTGGACTTACAAATGCATCAACATCTTTTCAACATCTAATGAATGATGTTTTTCGAGAGTTTTTGGACGGTTTTGTTGTCTGTTATCTAAATGACATCTTGATCTATTCTAAGAATCCAAAAGAAGATGAACTTCATGTTCGTCGTGTGTTACAAAAATTAAGAGATGCAGGACTCTATGCCAAGATAAAAAAAGTGTGTATTCCACACTACTCAAGTCGATTTCTTAGGTTACATCATTTCAAATGATGGACTTATGATGGATCCTAAGAAAGTTCAAACTATTATAGACTAGAAGATCCCCAAAACGGTAAGAGATGTCCAATGTTTTTTGGAATTTGCCAACTACTATCTCATCTTCATCAAAGACTTCTCTTAAGTTATAGCTCCACTTACATGTTTGACTTGTAAAGACAAACTCCAATGGAATCAAGAAGCGAAAGTTGCTTTTGAATCTTTGAAGACAACGTTTGTTTCTACACCAATCTTGTATCGTGTTGATTTTTCCAAAGCATTCTTTATAGAAATAGATGCATTGGACTTTACTCTGGGTGTGATTTTATCACAAATGGGAACAGATGACAAACTTCATCCAGTAGCCTTTCATTCAAGAAAATTCTCAGCAGCAAAAATCAATTATGAGATCCATGACAAAGAACTTCTTGTAATTATGGATTGTTTTCAAGAATGGTGTCATTATCTAGAAGGCGCTTCCAGTCCACTCACCGTATATACGGATTATAAGAACCTCGAATATTTTATGTCAGCACGCATATTAAATCGTCGCCAAGCTCGTTGGAGCATGTCTTTATCAAGATTCGAGTTCATCATTACTTATCGGCCAAAAAAACAATAAGGTTTGTCCGATGCCTTATCTAGACGTTCTTATCTTGCACCAAAAGAAGGAAATGCAGCTTTTGAGCAACAAAGAATGGTTCTCTTGAAGCCAGAGCAATTTCATCTTCAAGCAATAAAATCAACATTGACTGTTTATTTAACTTTTCTTAAGCAAGTCCAGTTAAGTATGTCTTTAGACCCTCTTGTTCATGATATCAAGAATAATTCTTCTAAATCTCATGATCCCTCTAAATTTGAATTCAAGAACAACCTACTCTATTTTGAAGGATGCCTATATGTTCCAAAAGGAGAAGCACATTTACGTGTTCTTCAAGCTCATCACGACTTCCCAACAACAGGACATTTTGGAT